AAAAAAATTACAGTCAGATTTCGCGCGTTTAGTTCGTTCTAAAACGACATTTTAAAAAGTTAACCGCCAACCGTCAAATGACCTAAGATTAGCCGTCAACCGTCAAAAGGGCTTATTTGAGACCCTCCTACAAGTAATCGAAAGGAGCCACGTAACTTACGCTTGTTAAAATTTTGAGATATCCCTCAGAGATATTTCTTTCTAATCACGCTCGTTTCATGTAGTTACGGGAGAAATATGAAACTTGTTGCTAATTGTTAAATATACCTGTAAAATTTGCAGTGACTGCAGATAATGAGTCTGATGAAGTACTGCTGCCACAAACGTCACCCAGACTTAGCCCCAAACTATCCACTACCCTGGACGCTGTTTCTGCCATGGACTCTGTTACTTGACAACTTGTACCTGATGTAAGGGCACTGACGTCAGGTGCTGATTGATTGTGCAGAGACAAACTGTAGATCACAAAGAAGGATATTTCCACACTTAATTCAATCAAGTCTTACAACGCGTGGAGCTCACTGTAGAAGTTTCGATTTATCAACATCGTTATTGGACTACACTATACAAAAAGCAACCACGAAAAAATATAGCAGCATGTTGAAAAGAGCCACACAAAACAGAGGTTTGACTTGTGAAATGAATTTGCCACAAGACCTTACAACAGTGTAAAAATACATCATTTTATTGACATAGAACTTTGATAAATATTAATTATGTTCAAAGATAGCATTCTTCACATCATCACTAACATCAAGGACTGTAACCTGCACCGACTGATTGGACATCTGACATGGTTTGATGCTCCTCTAGTTTAAAGATTCAATGAAAGTAACCGAGAAGTTACAATTCATAGACCCAAAATTGCTACACTCCTGTCTAGTGCCTTTATCAGGGGTGATCTAATCGTTGTAACAAGAGGTCCTTCTCATGTTTACTAATTAGCTGGCCCTTTTTTCTGACGAGGTGTAAATAGGCCGTCAGGAAGTAAGCTGCCATCACTTTGATTTAAAGGGGCGTGTGATTATTAACATTTAACTCACCTGTCTCCCGAAGCAGTTTCTGTACTCATTTTTGCTCCTAACATAGACAATGACAGTAAATTATACCCCGTTAACACTTAAATATATGCAGTTCACTTGCTAAAACACTTCCATACGGTACAAAGACCATATTTTTCAGTAGCACCAACAAAACTGACTCAACATTCAAAATTGACACAAGTAAGTAGTATTCATACGTTTTCTTGGTGAATCTTGACAACTCTAAAAAAAAAGAAAATAATTATTATTGTCAAAAAAACTGATTTAATTGATTATCTGACTCTTTAAAATCATGTTGGAATTTCTCCAAAGAAAGAATGTGAAAAAGGCGTTTTTTCAAACATTTGTAAATAATGAGCACTGGATGACTCGGAACTGGTACGAGAAGTTTCCGAAATCTACCCTAAGTAATGTCAAAAACTCAAGGAGTGAAAAACAAAGGCTAAAAAGAAAAAAGAGTTGAATAGTCCCATCCTCCTATTTTGATTCTGGACCACTATCTGCTTTTAGTCACCTATCATATTCTAAAGTTTTTAAAAAACAAAAAAAATTCCTAACTTCTACATGCTGGAGTACTTTGGAAACCACGAACAATAACCTGTATTACACATATTCCGGATCATTTTACTTACTGGTTGATCCACTTCATTTGCTGAGTCCTTTAAATGGGGGAAGCTTTCTGGAGGTACTCTTACAGCTTATTGCAAACAAAGCAAAGCAGATTACTTAAAAAATATGTCAAAACAAACCAGAGACTAAGATGTAATGCTATAGATAAATGAATTGCAATTACAAAAAACAATCTCTTTTCTTAAATTAAGGCATGTACTTTAATGCTCTGACCAAATATTCATATCTTCATCCAAATTATCAGCTGAAAATACTCTCATAGCTGATTACAGACCACCACTCAAAACATCAGTTTTAGAAATTCTTTAAGGAGGCCAAATTACATTTATGAACTATTTTGACACAACCAGGTTATCTTGTTATATCCCCTATGGACAGCATACAGTTTTTTTTTAGAAACGTACCCCCTTTATTCATTTGCTGTACACAGTCCACTACACTGGACGTCGTTTCTGCTATGGACTCTGTTACTGGACAGCTAGGACTTGATGCTTGGGTACTGACAAAAGGTGCCGGTTGGTTGTGCAGAAACAAGCTGTAGATCATAAAGAAGCTTGCCATACTTATCATGCAAATATACATGTAATCTTTAATTAGTTATATTGTATGAGGAACCCACTGTACAATTTTCATACCATTAACAACATTCTCAAACCAAACTATACAAAAAGCAACTCCAAAAACATGTAGCAGCATATTGAAAACAACCAATGAAAAACTGAGGTTTGACTTTATGTGAAAAAAATATTTCAGTTTTGAAATTAACTTGTGACATGCCCATATGACAGTGCAAAAAATCATTACTTTTACAAAGAATTTAGAAAAAAAATTATTATTTACAAAGTTGTCAATCTTGAAAGCATCACAAACATTGTGCCCTGAACTGATATGGATGACTGTACAGGCATGTACATCCTCTGTAGGATTATTATCATTTCACCTCACTCACCCATTAACTGAAGTACAATCTGTACTCATTTTTGCACCTAATAAGGATAATGACAGTAATTAAAATCTTTGTAAATGCTAATCCATAGAAATGCAAATAAAAAATATGTAATTTACCAGTTAATAAAAACACTTTCTTATTGAGCAAAAGCCATATTTTAACAATAGTGTCAACAAAACTGGGTCAATATTCAAAATTCACAAATTTATTTATTAATTAATGCAGTGTTCATACGTTTTCTTGGTGACTCTTGACAACCCTGGGAACAAAAAAAATCAGTAACTGTTGTCAAATTCAATGAATTATTTGATTATATGTGTAATCCATAAAATTTAATTAGGATCTTCCCAAAAAGGGAAAAACTGTGCTAAAGGGTGTTTGATAAACATTTGCAGATAATGAGCACTGGATAACTTTGAACGGAAAGGCAAAGTTACCAAACCCACCCATTGTAATGCCAAAATCACAAGGCATGAAAACCAAAGAAAAAAAGAGAAAAGAAATTAGTTTAATTGTCTTATCCTGCTGTTCTACTTTAAAATCCAAAATTCTACATGCTCAAGTTCTTTGGAGACCACAAATAATAAACTCTGGTAAAGATGTAGTTACCAATCCCACGCAATGAAATGACAAAAAAGAGAAGAAATTTGTTTGTGTTATCCTTTCAATCTACTCTAAAATCCAAACTTCTACTTGCTCAGAGACCATTAATAACAAATTCTGGCAGAGTTACCAAACCCACCAAAGAAACAATGAAAAAAACTCAAGATATTAGTTTGTTTGTCATATCCTCCCATCCTACTCTCAAATCCAAACTTCTACATACTCTAAGACCATTAATAATAAACTCTGGTATGCCTTTAATTATGCAACTTACTGGTTGATCCACTTCTCTTGCTAGGTCCTTCATAAGGGGGCAGCTTTCTGCAGGTACTCTAACAGCTTATTACAAACAAATTAACAAGGATTACAAAAAAGTAGCCAAAACGTTTTACAGCTATCAAAGGAGAAACA